GATGGGGAGCCTTGGGAGGGCTCATCTGTTCTGGTTATTAATGTTCATGAATGCTTCCTTGGCCTCTTCATAAAGGCCATAAATCCTTTCAAGGTTGCTTTGGTCAATATAAGGCATTTTGGGTACATTTTTGAAAATATAGAAATAGTCCCCCTTATGTGTCACACACACACACACACACACACACACACACACAGAAAAATGCAAAAAAATAAAAAAAAATAAATAAAAATCAAATTTAAGTTAAAAACATCTAATGCAGAAATTGCTGAGTTGGTGTTCTGAAAATGATTCCATCATCCAAAGGAATTGATGGGCTGGGTAAATATATGCAGCCAACACACTGATACTAACACAGCTCAGCTATTTGTTTAGCAATCTGCAAATCTCATTTTGGAACAGTGGCAAGAGAAAAGATTTATTGTTTTCTAGTTGTGTGTGTGTTTTTTTTTTTTTTTTTTTTTTGCTTTGTTTTGTTGGAAAATATTGGATCTCATTTTATAGGTTCTTACAAGCAAGACAGCCTCATCTGAGTCCAGGACAAAATATAAGGAATTGAGGCCCCACGTGTGGCATATACAAAATATGTTTTTTATTTAATTTTTTTATTTGCTGTATAATTATAGGAAATAACTATCCAATATTGATTGATAAAAAAATATTGATATATGATTTCAAGTTCGCTATGAAGTAAAAATTTTTCTTTGACTGATTAAATAAATTTATTAATTTATTTATTTAGAATGAAAAATACGACTGAAAATAGAACAGAAATATTGTCATTTTTTAATGTATTGAATTTATGGAACTTTTGTTTTCCGCTTTGTTTACCTGCTTCCACTCATAACTGCTCCTATTTATAGACCTCTGCTTGTCTAAAATGGTCAGAATTTTAGCACAAAATATGATGTCCAAAATATTTCTTTAGCAGTTGCTGTTTAGCATTAGAATTGTCTATTTACACACTGCCACCACTCAATCTGATCCTGTCACTAAAGCACTAGATTTGCAGGGTAGTCAGGTCAGTCTAAAGCAAATTAAAACAAGCGCAGGCTCTTACCTATTGCAGTGGTCTTAATTATATCCTCATCTAGCTAAGATGCTCAGCAGATCCCTGAGAGAAGCTGCTGTGTGTGTTGGTGCCAAAAGGGCACTAACAAACTATAATGCAGGCCGCACAGACATTGGGCTGTCTGTAGAGCGATCTAAAGTTAAATGTAGAGTGGAGGATGTTCTTTTTCCAGATGGATCATCAAAATAAGTGGTCTTCCTAATTGTCAATCATTCTGGTGATATGTACATGTATACATAAGGCCATCATCATTTTTTAAAGTAAGCTTGTATGAGCAATGCAGACAGCAACTTTTAAACAGAGCGTGCATAAGGAGTTAGGTGCTTGTGCATGCTCATGCATGTGTTCAATAGGTGTTCCCTCTCTGGAATGGGTATAAGGCTGTACATGTGCATTTTTTTTTACGCGGAGTGGGTGGGTCTTTTCAAAAATGTGCAAAAATTCTCCACTTTACCTTTAAGCTGAATCTGCAGCTTGAGGCGTTTTTCTTAAGTGAAAGCGCCATATCGTAAGTGATGGAGCTGGAAAATTCAGACTCTACCTGCAGCACAGCGAACCTTTTGTATTTAACCAGAGCAGCTTTATGTAAATTTTAAAGAAGCATCTTCAGCAGTCATACCGTTTGGTTGGAATGGGAGGTGGGGATACCCCAATAATACTACTGTGCCAAACTGATATAACATTGGATGAGAAAAAAACTCTAAACAATAAAGATTACTATACTATTTGTATTTCTTTTTTAATCAAAGCAGAAATGCATATCCTTTTCCTTTCATCTGACGGTTAGGCATTGCTTCATGTTGGTCTATATCATAAGTTCACCACATAATGTAGTAGTCTATGCTTATAATGAGACAGCTGGATAATAATAATTGTGTATAGATACTTTTTTAATGTATTACATGGAGACAGACAGCCAAAGCAGTGCACACTTCATTGCCTAGCAAGTCTCCCTTGTAGTCTAGGAGATTTATTGGGGAAAGCTGGGGTTTGTCAAGTGTCGTCTCTCCCTCTGGGGGGTTGTCACAGCTATATTTGTATGCTGAGGATTCTTCTCCATGGGGTTAGAAAAAAAAACAACAACCCCGGTGGAGCAAAAGGATTTGCACATCTGAAAGTTGGTTTCCCCCATGAAAAGAGAAGAGCAATGTCTCTTAAATAAGTAGAGATCTTTGGGGAGAAGAAGGTCATGACCTCCTAGATAGTTTTTTTTTTACCATTGCTAATTCAAATATATTAGCATGATACTTTCAACTTTCTCCTATGTTTTGTTTTGGTACCTTTCACTGGAGAACTGAAAGATAACAAGGGATTGTGCCTTAAGATACATGGCGTCATCTCTTAGCAGACTATTGTTTTGTTACAAGAATTAGGGTTTGGTTCCATTATGTGAGTTAGAGGCGGCAGATGTTCTTTGGAGAATCCTCTTTTTTTTTTCTTTTTTTTTCTCACGCTGCTTGTCTTCGTTTTGAATTCCTTAGAAATCCCACGTTTTTCACTAAAACTGGAAGTGCTCTCTTTGCAGTTGAGGGAGAGAGAGATTTTGAAATGCTGTCTGACAGGTGTGCTTGAAGAAGCAGATAATGTGTTTCGGAGAGGATGTTCAAGCTGTCCTCTCTGTCTGTTCTGGCCCTGAGGGATGGCTTTTGGTAAATAAAAAACAAAACAAATGGTTTGTCTGTAGATAGTTCGAGAATATAGCTTTAAGTGCTTTTACATAATTATTGTCACTACTAAAAACATTACCTTAGGTTATTTTAAGTGGGTAATGGTAGTTTTTAATTCTTATTTAGTTCAAGTTATGCATATACAGTAAGTTATTGTTCCTTATGGAAGTAATACAGACTGGATATTATAACACGAAGTGTCGCTGATTGTTTGACCATGCTCAACTAAAAACCTATCAAGTACCCAGACAGTAGATAGACATTACTTGTCGTTTGAGTTGATTGCTAATGGGTTAATGGGAAAACAGGCATGTCGTGGATAAGATGTCATGTCTGTCTGGGATGTGTCAGTCTCAGTGTTTTCAGGTTCTCCCTCCAGCAGAGGCTGCAAAAAAAAAAAAAAGACTCATCTTCTGTTAAGTTTAAACTAAAAAGAAAACTCCTTAAAAAAGCAGAAAATAAATTGAAAAATGAGAATGAAAAAATAAAATAACCTGACATGAAGTTGGGTGTCCATGGATCACTGTCCTCTTGTGGCTGGAACATTAGCATAACTGTGGGAATGACTAATTTAAAAAATATTAAATTAAAGAATACATAGAAATATTAATCAGTCATTGTTAATAATTAAGATTTGAAGTACTTCATGATGTTTACATCCATATAAATTGTACTGTGATGAATCTTATCTCTAGATAAGTACTTGTACAGTAAGTACACTATAACACAGTCATGTGCAGATAAAAATAGCATCCAGTTGCATGAGCTTGACATCCCACTGAGCTATACATACTGTTTCCACATTTAGATACCACCTTTATTTTATATCTTTCGCTCTGTTTCTCTGCATTCAGCCTAAGCTGACCAATCGTTATATCTTAATGTTTAGCAAAAAATTAGAAGCAAAGAACTTAGAATAGAATTAGACTCACAGCTCAGGTTTTTATATCATCCAGAATTGGCAGAAAGCATTATTCTGTATTTTGATACTAATTAAAAAAAAGTTCATACTCTTTTTTTTTTTTTGTTCATTTTTGAATTGCTAAAATTAGAGAATCTTGAACAAATTTTAATCACTTTAATTAAGAGACAACATACATTTGTGTGGCTATATATTTATATATTTAATGTTTTTTGAAGATCAAAATAAAACAAATGTATTTTAAGCTTTAAAAAATATATTAATATGCAGGCTGTGCACAGATATCAATGATTGTGCTTAGTTGAATGCTGTCTGGACCAATCACAGCATGGTCGGCAGACTCAATGCAACAGAGCAAGTCAGGATTGCAGCTGCAATTGATCAATGTTTTATTGATCCCCTTTATTGCATCCCTAAAGACCTGGTAATATCATTAAACATTCAACAACTAATATTAGCACAGCATTATTAAGTGTTATCAGTATCTTCAAGTGTTTTTCTAGAAAATGTTTTACCTATTACCGAAACCATGTCGGGCTTTCCGAATCCATTACATTTCTAAATGGAGAAAGGTTAAAAGCTCAAGGGAATAAAGTAGAAGTTTACTCTGCTGTTGTACATTCAGCTGTGTTGTTATCCTCTAAGGTTAGCTTGATTTATCTTTTCTCTAATTTTCAAAGTCATCTTAAAGTCAGGTAGAAGGTAATGTTCTGTGGAAATCTTTGTGTGAAAATATAAATGTGTACGAGAGAAACGCCCCACCTGACTGAACCTTTATCGTCATCCCAGGCATCCCCAAACTCGGTCCTCGAGGGCCGCTTTCCTGCAGGTTTTAGAGGTTTCCTTGCTCCAGCACAGCTGATTTTAATTGAAAGCTGATTAACAGGCTTACTGCAATAATTATAATCAGCTGTGCTAAAGCAGGGAAACCTCTAAAACCTGCAGGACAGCGGTCTTTGAGGACCGACTTTGGGGATGCCTGATCCATCCCATCCGCAATGAAGAGTCCTGTTGTTACAGAAAGGATTTAGGTATTGCAGGTCACTGCTCAGGGCCGGTCAAACTGATAATACACTTAGAATTTGTCACCAGCTGATTTCCCAGTCCCTCTTAAGAAGAATTTTACGTCAATCTTTTTTAATGAATTATTTTTTTTTGAGAGGCAATGAGAAGCAAAGAACCTTGCAATCTCTACATAAAGAAAGCAATGTGTTTTTTAGTTTTAAGATACACTTGTAAGCACAGCTTGTGCTTTCATCTGCAATCAAAGCTGCAGTTTTCATCTGCAGTCAAAACCTGAAAGGCTCACTGTTGTACTGTCCTCCGGTGTTTTTTGCAGAGATGGAGCCATGGATCTTCAGGTTCAAAGCAGAGGGCACGGTGGATTATTCACAACTGACCTTTGACCCTGGCCAGAATGAATTGATTGTCGGTGCCAGGTAACCTTCATCCATTATGTTTTTCCTTATTTTCCCTTCTGCTTCTTTCTTCCTTCCTCCTCCCCTCGCCCTTTTCTTCCCTTTTATTCACAGTGCCTTGTTTTATTTCTCTTTTCCTTCAGTGTTTGCTGCTGTGTTTCATGAGTAATGATCCGCTTTTGTATAGAAAAAAATTGCTTTGGATGAATGTCTTTGTATTTTTTTTAAGCCCAACCAATTGCATCTGTTAATGTCTGTACCTGCACTTATTGCCTGTTATGGGGCTTAGCAATATTCCTTATATGTTTAGCTTTTTAGTATCATGGGCACTGAGTTTGGCTGATAATAACACTTCCATCAATGAAAACTGTGAAATTTAGGATGAAAACATGATTTGAGGTTTTAATTTTGGTGTAAAGTGAGATTGAAGTTGATGTATTTTGCTGTTTGCAGTGATTTAAATGTATTATTTCCGTATAGTTAAGTTAAGAAGATCTGCAAATATTTAGCAGAAAAATAGGCTCTTAGTTTTATTTGAGTATAGATCAACACCGAGTGGATGGGTAAAGATGTAACTGAGTGCTTTAAAAAGGCTGTTAGCAAGAATTTCATAACACACTTGTTTAGTGTGACAAATTTGTCACATGCATGTCCACAATCTCACAGTGCTAAAAGAAAAAAAGGACAGAGTGAAGACAATTAAATAGTAGATGTGGTGAAATTCTGTATCCCACCTTAACAGCTTCTTAGTGTCTAACTGTGACAGATAACGCGCCAAGATTGATGACAGCAGATTGGGTTCCAAGTATGAAAGATAATGGAAGAAAAGTAGGATCGATGTAAATATCAATACAGTAAAATGGGGGGTCACAGTCAGATACGGACCTTTTCTGATAGCTGCTCCTCAGGAGATTGATGGATCTTTGTAAAGCTATTTTATATGTATGGATGTGTGCACAAGTGTATAGGTGAGCATGATTTCGACTGAAAATGGATAGCTGCTCAGAAAAATTAGTAATTGTTCACATGAAAAGATTAGCTTTTTTTCCCCCACCAACCCTAGATGGGTTTTACAGTTTTAAAATCCAAAATAAAGTCAGAGTTTTTAAAAAGATATCTAAGAACTCTAAATTAATTACATTTTCCATCTAATGAAGGCAGCTGTTCCAAAGTTTCAGTTCTTCAGTGTCTACGTCCGGCTTGTTTTGGATAACTTTTTGTTGGAACACATCTGAATTAAATCAATTTGTAATTTTCAGGCTTTTTCTGAACTTTGTGATGGTTCAGACTCAGTTTTCCTCATTAGTTGTCGTTCTTTCCTTTTTTTTCCATTATTGTAACAAAACAAAATTCTCTCTTTGATCATGTGCTGGATCATTGCATATGATCTACTTACTACTTGTAGTTTATTATTCTGCTGTTTTACCGTTCTATTTATTTTCAGCTTATTGTCGACTTAATATGTCTTTTTGTTTCTGATTACATGTTGGTTTCTAAAGCTTGTGTTATACACTTGGATAACTATAATCTTCTCATAGACCAATGCACCTTTTTAAAACACAAGATTATAATCACCATTTTCCCAAATACAACAGCTGTTAGATCATGAGCAAAAAAACGTCAAGATAAAACTAAATCGTATTCATGGTCACCACAAAGCATCTTTATGCAGAAGGTTATTAGTTTTAGCAGACAAAATTGAATGCCGATTGGCCGAAACGGCAACAGAACAGATTGGATAAGGTATTAACTGACTAACATCCTTTGGTGACAGACTCAAGAGAGAAGTTGGTCATTTCAGAAGGGACCCAGTCCCCCCCAAAAAATAAATAAATAATTAATTAACAACAGACTGTGGTCCACTTGACCAAATTTGCCAATCTTATTTTTATGGTATTTCTTAGCTGACTGTATTCACATTTAGTGTTAATGCTTGTCTTAGAAAGTAACATACTGTATCTCACATGGTTCTGTTTCATATCCTGAAAACTTCTAAATGCTTATGAAGGGTTGTTTTGGGCTGTTGTAAAATTTACTCAGTCATTATGTCAGATTGTTTCAGGAACTCAGAATTTCTGTTTGAAAATATGGAGTTTCTGCAAAATTTCACAGCACTAAAAACATATTAGAAAACTGTTTGAAAACTGAGGATATTGGACCTCTAGAACTATTGCTCATCTGTGCTTCTACATTTCTGAGAAGGACAAAGGTTATCTATGAAGCAGTTATTGCTGTAACAAGTTCTACTGAAATATTTTAACATTTTATTTTATGACCTATATCAATTTTACTCCAATTTTGTTTGCTTTCTACAGAAATCACCTCTTCAGGCTTAACCTTGAAGACTTGACATTAATCCAGGTGAGTGCTAATTCTTTTATACCCTGTCATTCCACTGCCTGAGTCAGAGTTTTTCCAGTAAATTTGTTGTTGTCTCTGCTTATTTTACTCTCTTGGCAAAACAAAACCCCACCTGCTTTTGACAAACATGTGTTGGTTGTTGCACTCTGCTGTCAGCTTCAACAACTGCAGGCTTTCTCAGTGGGATGAGGTACAATTTTACACGTCAAAACAATTTCACAAAAATGTAAAAGTGCTACTATTGTGTGCAGCTGTCAGAGCCTTTAGTTGAGACTTGAAGAAAGGAGGCGTACTTGAAATAGTGTCTTAATCCTATGGAAGAGCATTTGCCCCTACATATGTCTTATGTTTTTGCCTCTTTAATACCAACAGCCAAACATGGTGGTGGTACTGCCATGCTCTGGGGCTGATTTGCTGATTCAGGATTTATTTGGGACTTATTACTGAAAGACAATAATGTTAAGTACACCAGAAAATACACAGATAATACATTTGGTTTATTATTCTACAGTATAACTTCAAAAAGGCAGTTCATGTTTAGAAACTCTTCAAGGTGGCAGTATTAAAACGATTCTGCAAAGGGAAAAATGCCAAAATGTTTCAACAATGATGTAAAAGACTAATTGCCATTGCCACATCACAGTACTTACTGTCACCAATTTGTTTTGTCAAAAAGATGTTAACTTTTAAATTTCAGGTTGTGCGGAGGTTTTAAGAGGACCCAAATGCAGAGTTGAAGAGGAAGGGATGATTGCTTGTAAAGTGTAATGAAAATAATAAAAATACAAAATCCTTAGTCCAGAACTTATAGACAAGAAAACTCATGAACCAAAAAACTTGGAGACACTAGGGAGGAATTAAGCAAAAGCATGGAAAGGATCCAGCAAACAGTAAGTGACCAGGAGGTGTATATATGGGAGACAGAAACAATGGGAGGACTAATTAGCTGATAGGGAGCAGGTGTAGACAGAAGGAGCTAAGTGGAAAGGAGATTGACACAAGGGGACAACAGTGAGTAACTTAAAAAATACAACACAGCTTAAATATAACAAAAAATGGAAAAGAAACCAATGATAAAGAAAACACAGAATAACATAAATCAAAGTGTAACTTAAACAAACTTTAACAGAAGTCTACAAAGGGCACAATCATGACATTACATAGGGCGTGGTTGGTTAAAATGGTATTCTTCCATGAAATAAATCATCACCTCAAATTTCCATATAATTTATTTTTGCAGGTTATCATTGTGTGATAGAAATGTATTCTATGATATGAAACATGATCTATTCATTCATGACTATTATATGAAAACCATTAAAGATTTGTGAAACTTTATTTATTTACCCATACCAAATACATGTATGGTTTCATCTCCCATCTAACTGTTTCAATCTACAAATCTTTCAGACTCTTTACTTTATCCTTTACACTATTAGATCTCACAGGAAAACCTAAGGATTTGGTGATTTACTCCATCCACACAAACATTGACACGTTGATTGTCTAAGTTCCAGGTGGAAACAGCAAGACTTCTATGATGTGTAGACAGGTCTTCATATTTGCCAACTGCACTAAAGAATCAGAGCAGATGATTTCGGCAGATACAAGGAATGACAATAGCAAAGCTAGACTTAAGGAGTAAAAAATTGAGAATAAAGAAAGTCTTGTTAATGTAAATATGACTGAGAGGGAAAAATAAGGAAAAACAGCTCAACAAATTACCAGGTAAAACAGAACGCTGGTCTGTCATACATTGATGACATAAAGAAGTGAGAGAATGGTAAGAAAGCATTGAAGCCCCCCAACAGAGAGAGAGAGGAGAATTCATGCAGGGTCTGTCTTTTGTGGTCTCATGCTGGGACAAAGATGCTTTCTAAAAATGTTCTGTCCCATCCGAACATGTCATATTCCTCCCTGCTCTGTTTCTTGTGCTTGGCTGTTGCTGAAGAATCAGAGGGGATTCCACTGAGCCAATCAGCCATTCATGTCCAAGATGTCTTTTCCTGAAAGAATAGGACCTGGTAATCCCAGCCAGTGCCTGGGGCAAATTAAACATGACCTGTGCACAAAGTCTCTGCTTTGCATTTGATTGTAGATGGATTGCTGAGGCAAGGGGAAGTATAAGTTCAATTGCTGAAAATATCAGAGAATAAGTGGTTTTTTTCCATTCACGTCGAAAGTCTTTTATTTCTTTCCTTTCCATTTTGCTATTCTGATGTAAAAAGCAGATTAATTGCACAGAGACTTGGTTGTCTCATTCCAATTGTTGCTTGCTATGAAAGACTAGAATAAATCTCCCCCTTTGGCATTGTTGCTTTGCCCACATGGCATGCATCACAGATTGATCGAATAGATTTACAAGGGACTGTTGGGCTGGTTGTGCAAGAGTCAGTGCAGAAAGCCCAAGTACAAACAGTTGTTAGAAGTTCAGTTAGGTTTATTTCAACTGGAACAGCATATAGAAGCCTTGCAAGAGATTTTTCTTCTCTTCCTGCAGAAAAGAAAAAAATAACTAAAAGCTACAGTACACATAAAGCCCTAATTTGTTACTTTACCCTGTATCAGTCTTTGATGATCATGCCCAAAGGCAGGGCTTTGCTCCTGCTGGTCTTTATCATCATTACAAGGAAATTCTACATGGCTTGAAAAAGTACAAGAACAGGAGGAACTCTGACATCAGAGTTACATACAGTGGCATGCTAATTTAAACAGAAAAAAAATAAAATTTCATTAATAATAACTGATTTGCCTTGTATGTACAGATCTACAAAGTTTATACTCATCTTGGTAGTTGTGACAGTAATTTTGGCAATGAATTTTATTAACTCATTTTTTAACACTTGTTACTTTAGGGTTGGAAGATCAAACAAGAAAAACTTAAGTTGAATACAGATTTTTGTGAAAATATCATTAAGCAAGCTGCATTTTAAAAAGCCCATTTTAAGTACTGTAATCAACAATCTCTGGCAAAACCCTAGCTACAATTTTTAAACAGCCTCCTAAACTGGTAGTTTGTGTAAACTGGTTCACATGGCAAGATTTTAACATTTCTGATTGATTTTTAAAACTAAAGAGACCAAATAAAAAAATCTGTGATAGAACAGTTTTGGTTGTAAAGTGTGTTCTCTTAGGCAACAAAACAAGCACAGTAGTCTACAGTACAAGCTGATTTTGATGTTCACACAGTGCAAAGGGTCAACAGGAGGTCTCTGTATACAATGGCATATTCAATCAAGAGAGTGGCTTTGATATTTGCTGGGATGAATGGGTAAAAAGTATTTTTTTTAAATGATTTTAGGCTACAAAGTACATCTCTGAATGCTCTGACATCTTCACTGAAAAATGTTGTTGCTGGAATGTGCCAAAAAATTTTTTTTTACCTACCTTAAGATTTTTAAACAAGTGTTCTGTCAGAACAGCATGCACTGTCAGATAGACACACATTGTTCTAATATGCATGCACAATTTTTTTCATTTTAGCAGCAGTGTAGTAATCAGCAAAAACACATAAGCAGGGGTCTGCTGTTTGAAGCAACTACAGAAGTTATGAAGGTAGGATCATAACCTTGGTGACCTGACTGCACCAATGGTGTTTTGAGGTGTACTTTCTTGATTAAAAACAGAAATTAAAAAAATGCCAATCTTTTGGAACTCCAAGTTATATTTATGTTTCAACCATCTGGCTGTTCGCTTAGAAATCGAGTTGTGATATTTGGAGTGTGTGCTTTATATTCATTAGACAGGATTTGGCTTGTTCATAGGGCTATCTCTAAACTGATAATGACTATGCATTTCTTTCTTGGTTGACAGTGGATGGCTATGGGGCTTGCCAGCCCTCAATGTTTGATTTCTGAACTCAAAAACGAAAATATTATTGGTTCAATAAAGAAAGTCTTCTGTGACTGATCCACACCTAGCCAACTCAAAGCCCAATAGTCCAGTGCTTAAATCACCCAAGTACTGCCTCCTGAAAACAGGTAATTTAGACTTGCCTTTTAAATTCCATACTTGATGACCATCACCAAATCTATAGGAAACTGTGCGTATTGACTGGAGCTGGTCTCCAGTAACAATGGCGTAAATATCGGTAAGCAGAGACAGCAGTTGCTTACGGGCCCACAACCTCTTAGGGGCCCATTCACTGACACCTGGTAGGCCCCCTACACAATTGTAGACTAGGACGTCTCTTTGCAAATGTAATGGTGCATAAAGTTCCTCTTAAACCCACCTGATACTGAAGTGACTGACCACACCGGATCGTATTTATACCGCAACATACGCCAGTTTTCAACGTGATGGTGAGCCGTTTAAACCAACACCAATAGCAAAGCAGACAGTGGTACTTTTAATTACTATGTTAATAACTGTGTATAGTTCATTAGACAGTTGGTAAAATATACACTTATATGTTTCAAACTGCAATCAAGATCTTAAAAGAACAATGTATTTGAGTCCTTTTTTTTCTCACTCTGACTTGGAATTATGGGTAATCCAGACCATAACCGTTACGAACAATGTGTTAGCGACGATGGATGGCAAAAATAGGTGGGGTACGACGTGGGGTGGGGTGTTTGGTCGATAAGCATCTCCCTGAAATATGTTTTTGGAACTTGTAACATGTGGTGGTGCGCTGTCACCAATGTTTCCATTCAAGGTGCGCAGTCACTATTTTTCCGTGTGTGATGTGTGATCATATACTACTGAGAATTGCATAATTGTATTTTCTTGGCCGATTTATGGAACTGTCGCTGTGTCCTGAACCTTTATCACGTGTTGTACTTCATATGGGGCCCACCCAGATAATGTTGCTTATGGGCCTGTTGTTGTGTTGTTACGCCATTGTCCAGTACTAAGACGTTTTTGTCGGAAGGCGTGTCCTTGGCAGCGTGGCAATATCCTACCCTGGCCATATGCTGGGCCCTTGTCTTTGCAAATATCATCTGATGTGTTTTACATTGAATATGATAGAGCTTAATCAAACCTCTGAAGGATATTCA